GCTTTGGTAACTAGTGTGGAGTGACGAGAAAACCAAGGGTTGTCAAGAGCTGCAGCGTCTTGGGGCAGGGCATCCTTACTCCAGGCTGTGAGAGCCAATTGTCTATACCATTTGACAACCCACCAGCACAGCTGTGGTTATATGGCAACATAAAGGCATGACCCCAAAAAATCAGACTCATGAATGAGCAGGTATGGAACTTACAGCAAATAAAGCAAAAAGAATACTCTCCTAAACAAATCTCTCTAACAAGTTTTAGTTCATATTTAAGGAGCATTCAGAGTATGTACAGGTCTGTGATTGTAAATACAACTGAGAGTTGAGAGCATTTTCTAGATACTGGAGATACAAAAATCAAGAACTCATGGGAACAATGACTGTGCATTAATGAATCCTAATCATTCTTCCTCATGAGAGGAGGAAGTGGAAAGAAAACAATGAAGATTGATATATGGACTTAGTCTTATTTTTTAAGAACTCAAAAGGATGCATGGTTAGAATGAAACCAAAGGCACCCATAAACAACATTAGTAGAGATGCTTCATGAAAGAAACAAGGGAGGTAGGGAAGGGGACAGAGAAGGAGAGAAAGGGGAGAAAAAAGTCATTCCATAAAATGAAGATATGACTGTTTTGTAGACAAATACACCCTTGAATCCCTATAGCACATACCCACTCAAAGTTCATTATTAATAAGCAGCTTACATTTGAGCCCTGACAAACACCTCTCCAGCTTCAGAGGCCACATCTCACTGAGTACCAATAGCTCCCTTCAGTTTGGGAAGAAAAGAAATAAAACCAAAGATATCTGGGGTTTTAAAAGTGGGTAATTGGCTGGTGAGCGGTAGCTCATGCCTGTAATCCTAGCACTTTGGGAAGCCCAGGTAGGCGGATCGCTTGAGCTCAGGAGTTCGAGACCAGCCTGAGCAATATGGCAAAACCTCATCTCTTATAAATAAATAAATAAGAAGGGTGATAAAGAAATGTCACTTCATAATCTCCCAGCCAGAAGAGCTACTGGTCTGTTCCAAGGTATCTCTGAGAAATAGCATGCCCATTACCTAATTTCCACTCATTCCCTTCCTACCTAAGTGAGCACCTACCTGAGATCTCCGGAAAGAACGACGAATGGGCAGAGGAAGATAAGATAGAAATATACATGGGAGCAGTAGAATTCAACAACCCACTTTATAAAGCTGGCAAGTAGAGAATACAGTGTTAAAAATATGGGTCAAAGCAATTTAGAAAAAGAGAAGGAAGAAGGCATAACATCAAACAGTTTTATCAAATAGTTATGCTTAGTAAATAGACAATTTTATTCTGCCCCCAGGATTTCTGCAGTACTGTAATCTTATTGCCACCTCTTATTTGATAGTTTCATTTATTCAGCAATATCATGGTTATGGCTTTATAAGACAAGTAAAACTGGTATTTGACTCCGCTATGCCAGCTCCTCTCTGAATACCACTGCACTTCCATGTCAGCAAAATATCTAGGGAAGTCAGGACATGATGAATGTTGGCTGAAGTATGTAGGGCATATTAAATATAAGTGGCAATAAAACAATGTTCATCTTCAAATATCTAATGTTTTCCCTGATCTTCAATCAGAACAGTAAGAGAAGAAAAACAAGAAAAAAAAACCAAACCTGTTTAATAGAAAGAAACTGCATAGACTTGTCTGAATCTCTCTAAATGACAGAATATGGGGTAATGTCCCCAAAGTGACACTCCTGCTATACAATAAACATACTTCTTTCCCAGAAGGAAACAAATAGATCCTTCAAAAACAATAAGATTAGACCAATCAAATACTGGATTAAGCTTGAAGAAAGTAAACTACATGCACTTCCAATCCAACTAAACTGGTCCACTCACTGCTAAATATGCCATGCATTCACATTTTCAACTATCTGCAGGACATGTGAATTTGTATGATTCATCATTGTGTAAAACTCAGCATTTCAAAAATAAAACTCACTTCCCTAGATAAAAGCGTTTTTGAATCTTACCAAATCAGCTCCTCCTCCCAACAGCCCTATCTGGAGGACCATCATACTCTCAGCACCTAGGCCTGACATCTCTCTCATTCCTGTATAAAATCTCTGAACTCAAACCTACAGTGTTTCTCCCATGAACATTTTCTTTTTTATTCTCTCACTCTACCCCAGTTGAGACTCCTACTGCCTCTCACATGGACTATTACAGCCTCCCCTACCTGGTCTCCTGGCGATGCTGACCAATTCCAAATACTGCCAGCTGAATCTTCTTAAAGGATTAGGTTGGCAAGTAATCTTCATCCTTAAACACACCACAACCACCACAGAAAACTTTTTTAGAAATTTTCTAATACGAAGACAATCATTAGCATCATATCTGAATGATGACAATGAAGGGGGAAGGAGTACAGGACAAAGAGAAGAAGGCAGGATGGAGGGCTGGGAGACAGAGAGGGGCAAAGGGGAGCAGGAAAAGGAAATGGGTAGGGGAGGGGAGGAAGACTAAAGTTTACCGAGCACTAGTCTAAACGCTGTACATTTATTAACTCATTTGATCTTCACAAAATTCTGATGAGATAGGGACTATTATTATTCCCTATTTTACAAATGAGAAAACCTGAAGCACAGAAAGGTTACAAAGCTTGTAAGTGAAAAAGAACCAAGAAGGAGGCACACACAGGCTGGAGGTAGAAACATGGTGTTTCCGTGATAAAAAGGACATTGCCAATGACCTTGTCCAACCTATAATCTGAAAACATCTGATGACACAACTCTCATCCATTTTCACTCAAAATAGTATTTCAGACTTAATGAATATCTACAGGATGTCCACCATGGAACAGGCATTTAAACACACATTAACCTAATCATTCTAGTAATACAGAATACAGAGGCAGTATATATTGCTTCCAAAGAAGAGAAAAACATTGCAGCCTTGCCACACGTAATCATTTTGTAAGTGGCAGAGTCATGATTAGAAGCCAGGTTTTCTGATTTCAAATCCAGTTTTCTTTTGACTCAACAGTGCCACAATTACAGGGCAACAGATTATGGAAGGTATTCTACAATCTACCCTCATATACCTCTGACCCTACTCCGTTCAATCCCTTCCAACTTTCTGCTTCAGCCTGAACAGGCTATCCTTAGCCACCAGCCAAACCTGGCATTCTCCCCATGCCAGTGCCTGTAGCTGCACCACTCATCTGGCACTCAGCTTTTACTGCTGTATATTATCTTTTTTGGGTACATATTTTGTCTTCCCAACTAGATCATATTCCCTGCAGATCCAAGAAGAGCAAAACACTTAGTAGGCACTCAATAAATATTTATTGGCTAGCTGATTGATTTTACTCACTGAGTTCCTAGGAGGTTCTGTGGGCTGCTGGATGAAAACAAAGTAATAACTGACTGAGTCATAGAATTTTTGAGCAAAAAGACTCCATAGAGATAAACTAATCCAAATGCCTTCATACCCAGATGAAGACAGACCCAGAGAGAAACCAAGGAAATTTTTAAATGAGTTGTTGCCTAAAAGAAAAACAGAGTGACATCAGCACAATGGGCATCTAAGAGCCTTGATTCTTAGCCTGTTTCCCTTTATTATACTGCTGTGCTTTTATAATTCTATAAAATAGAAATAAGTATACTGTGTACATGAATTATCTAGGTTGCCCTTCATACATTAAAAATTTATTAGCATATTAAAAATAATCTATCCACATACTGTAAATATGAATACTCTAGTAGTAATATGTTAGCTAAATTATATAGTAAACATTTAATTACAATAATTTGCAGGCCTTCTGGGGATTCAGATGATTTTTTTGAGGGGTATGGGAGAAATGATTCGAAAATGTCTGATGACCTCTTCTTTTCTCTCAAGATACATTCTAACGTAATGTAGAAATGTTTATTGTAGATCTAGGTATGTTTCCTTCATTCCTTATTTTTTTTTCTGCTCCTCTATCCTTTGAGAAACACAATTTCACAAGAAAGATCAGTATGGGGAGTGTGAATAGAGGTATCAAAAAACATCCTCAGCTTCTCTCAGTCAGTGACAGTGGGAGTAGGAATTAAGAGTTTGTGTAGTCACTCAGGGGACTTTTCTCTACTCCACCACTGTCCTAGACTCTGGACTCAAGTCAGTAACCTCAAAGGGTCCTGATACAAAAAATGATTATAGTCACTTCAAACTTTTGTGCATAATATGGTCTTTCAATATGTGTTTGAAAGCCAACTTTCACATGTTAAACAATGGATGTAACAGTCAACTGTCATCTCTCTTTTAACATATCACACTGTTGTACTCTTAATTGGATGCAATGCTAAGCTGTACACCACAGAAGATGAAAATCATCAGATGACTACCCTGTCCCTGTCCCTGGCAGGTGGGGCAGAGAGACACGTGACAGAGGCTCGGCCTATTAAATGTTTCTGCGTGGAGACTAATACAACAAAGAGGGAACAGTCAGAATTCATTTATAGCGGTGTCCTGCCCCTGTGACACCATAAGGGAGGGTGTCCTTGCCAGACTGCTCCTAACTAAAGACAACAATTCTGCAACTGGCTTCTTGGCCCTTTGCAGCAGACCTGTTCCCCATCTCTTTTCCAAGCCTGATGCTCCAGTGAGTTATATCAGCTCTTCATAATGTCCCACACATCTTCCTTTTGTTTAGAATAGTCAGAGTTGTTGCTGTTTCTTGCAACCAGAAGGATCTTAGCAGTACATTATGAGGTTTGATTTCAAGAGTTAAATAATAAAAAGTACAGCGGGGTGTGGTGGCATGTGCCTGTAGTCCCAGCTACTTGGGAAGCTGAGGTGGGAAGAACACTTGAGTCTAGGGGTTCAAGGAAGCAATGTGTTATAATCATGCCTAAGAATGGCCACTGCACTCCAGTCTGGGCAACACAGCCCGTCTCTAAAACAAAACAAAACAAAACAAAACAAAACAAAACAAAACAAAACAAAAATAAATGGTCCCTAAGCATGAGTTGCACAGGTCATGCCTTCTTCCAAACTAGGAAACACGGGAGCCCAGGCCCAGGATGAGAGGTAGGTGACACAGGCTTCAGGAAGTCTTGAATGCCCAGGTAAGGACACACAACAGGATTTTCTTTTCCTGGGCTTGCTGTGTATTACCCAATTCCCATTCCAGCTGCAGTGTCTAAGGCAGATGGTTGGGCAAATCCCACTCCAATTACAGAGTCCAGGAAAGGTGGCTGGGTAGCGCTTAATCTTTAATCTTCTGTTTAGGTACTTAGGATAGAGTAAGAGGGAAGGACTCTGTCTTGCTCTGTCATCTCACCACTAGCTGAGTAGGAACTTAATGACATGTTTTCCACTTGAACACATAAATTTCTGTGAGGTTCCCTAACCCACCTGAAACCCAACAGTTAAAAAGGAGAAATGCAAGAGAATACTGGTGATGAAGTGAAGGTGGCTTCCAGGATACTGCCACTGGGTGAAGAATAAAAGCAAGTTTAGAAATATCCGTGAATGGCCTATTAAATGGTGGAATATATAAGAGATGAGTATCTTAAAATAAAGAACCTATCAATCTCTGGTTTTCAAAGATACCACTATATTCCAGCAAAGAGATCAATTCAGATGCTCTTAAGAATGAATGAACAAGGTAAATGTGAGGTAGGTCTGTTGTTGGTCAAAGATATATTCTCCTAGTTATTTTCTTTACATTTCTAACCAAATATGATGCCCCAACTACATTCATTTTCCTAATAGAAAAAAAAAAATCGATCACAGACAGTAAACTCCTTACCAGTTAAAATAATTTCACATCTGCAGGTACCAAAAACATATTCAGCTTTTAGCTTAGCTTATTAGGTTTGTTTTCTAAAGCTTACAAAAGAGGAAACCAACATTCTAAAAAAGACAGTTCACCGCATGGCAGAGTTGTGTGTGTGTGTGTTTTAAAGAAGGTCTAATTAATGTAAGATATTGTGTCATATCAACATTTTAATAGGAAAAAAAAATCCTCACCTAAATTATAAAAAATAGGTGAAGAGGGAGAAGAGCACAGCAAAACAAATGTATATGGCCAAACAGAAATGTTGGGAATAAACACTGATCAATGAATTCTCTATCATCCATACCAACAAAAGAAAGAAGTTACACATAGCATTGGTATTTATTCTTCAATACCAAAAGTCATGTAATCTTACGCACTTCCTTCAGCCCTCTCAGGCCAGAGAGCAGTTCTAAGCCTGTTTCACAAAAGCCTACATGGCACAGAGCAGGAATATAGAGCAGAGGATCTGGGCTCTAACTTCAGCTCTCTCTATAGCTGTTTCACCTCACGTAAATGTGCTAAGCCTGTGCCAGTTTCCATACCTTATTATAAAATGAGATGCTAGATCTAAATGCTCTATAAAATAGCTTCTAGCTCAGACATATTATAATGAATTTTCTTTTTGAGACAGGATCTCGTTTCGTTGCCCAGGCTGGAGTATGTGGCACAATCCTAGCTCACCACAGCCTTGAACTTCCGGGCTCAAGCAATCCTCCTGCCTCAGCCTCCTGATGAATTAGACTACAGGCGTGTACCACCACGCCTGGCTAATCTTTTTATTTTTTTATAGAGATGGGGTGTCACTATGCTGCCCAGGTTGGTCTCAAACTCCTGACCTCAGGCAATCTTCCTGCCTCGGTCTCCCAAAGTGTTGGGATTATAGATTTGAGTCCCTCCTCCCAGCCTATAATTTAATTTTTAACATGAACTAGGATCTACTTATTAATAGTCATGAAGTGCATGTTCAATATAGATTCAAACTTCTATCCATATCTTTATAATGACACTTGATGATAATATTTGAGGCCAACAAGATTGTGTATCATTTCAATGAGCATTAAGCATACCTCACACATTTCTAGTTGTGGAGCACTATGGTAGCAGGAGGAATTTCATTATTTTCAGTGATAAGATACAGTTTTCTGCATCTTATCATTGAAAATAATGAAAAACCAAACACTCATCTTCACATTTACACACTGTCATGCACTGTATAATGATGTTTTGGTCAATGATGGAGCACATATATGCATATGGATCCCGTAAGATTATAATGGAGCTAAAAAATCTGCTATGGCCTAGAGACTGCGTAGTCATAGCCTGCAGCATAATGCATTACTCATATGTTTGCAGTGATGCTGGTAAAAACAAACCTACTGCACTATGAATCCTATAAAAGCATAGCCCATACAATTATGTACAGGCAGTAATGGTAATGGCTAACAATAATAAATGACTATGTTAATGGTGCATGTATTTACTACCATACTTATTACTGTTATTTTAGAGTGCACACCTTCAACTTAAAGAAATTAACTGTAAAACAGCCTCAGGTAGGTCCTTCAAGGGTTATCCAGAAGAAGGTATTGTTATCATAGGAGATGACAGCCCCATCTACATTATTGCCCCTGAAAACCTTCCAGTGGGACAAGATGTAGAGGTGGAAGACAGTGATATGGATTATCCTGACTGTGTAGGTCTAGTCTAATGTGTATGTTTGTGTCTTAGTTTTCAACAAAGGAGTTTTAAAAAGTAAAATAAATAAATTTTAAAAATAGAAAAAAGTTTACAGAATAATGATATAAAAATATTTTTGTAGCTGTCTGATGTTTGTGTTTTAAGCTAAGTGTTATTACAAAGGAGTCAACGTTTTTTTTTTTTTAAATTAAGCATTATAAAATAAAAGTTAGAGTAATCTAAGGTTTATTATTGAAAATGAAAACTTTTTAAAATCAATTTAATGTAGCCTAAGTGTATAGTTTATAAAGTCTACAGTAGTGTACACTAACGTCCTAGGCCTTCACATTCATTTCCTATTTCATCAATGATTCACCCAAAGCAACTTCCAGTCCTGCAAGCTCCATTCACAGTAAGTACCTTTTATACTCTAATTTTACTATACCTTTTCTATGTTTAGATGTTTACATACACAAATACATGCATTGTGTCATATAACTGCCTATAGTATTCAGTACGGTAACATGATGTACAGTTTTTAGTACAGGAACAACAGGCTATACCATACAGCGTCTGTGTGTAGTAGATGGCTATACCATCAGGGTTCGTGTGAGTACACTCCATGATGTTCAAACAATGACAATTGCCTAAGGACACATTTCTCAGAAGGTGTCCCAATTGTTAAGTAATGCATGGCTGTAGCTTGTTAAGTAGTATATTGGCCTATCAAGCTAGAAAAAGATAAGTAGCAGCAACATGTCAATAAAACCATTATGAGCTGTTTCTTGAGTGGTATGAGCTTGACAATATACTAAGGACCATAGGAGATTATTGCACAGTAAGTATTAAAAAGGCAGATGGAGTTGGTGACTACTACAGTCCTCTCACCAAAAAATTATTACTGAAAGAACCTTGACTGTAATTTCTTCTTCATTTTATAGGTGGCTAAACTGAGATCCAGAGATAGTAAGTAGTATTTAGTGATGGACAGGGGCTAGAACTCAGGTCTCAAGTCATAAAACAGGCATCCTTCCACCATGACAGCCTGTCTCCTGCATTCAATACACAGATTAGAAGTCAACCAGAACAAACTACGTAAGGAGTGACTTACATGGATCTCAAGGGCATTATGCTAAATTTAAAAAGCCCATCTCACAGAATCACATATTATGATTCCATTTATGTAATGTTCATGAAATGACAAAACTATAGAGATGGAAAACAGTTGTCAGAGGGATGATGGGAAGGAAAAGGGGTAGAAGGGGTAGCACTAGGGAGACCTTTGTGATGACTGAATAATTTTCTACCTTCATTGGGATGGATGTGAATCGACAGTTGATAAAATGGCATAGAACTATACAAAGACGCTGTATCAATGTCAACTTCCTGGTTTTGATATTGTACTATAATTATATGAGATCTAACCACTGGTGGAAACTGGGTGAAAGGTACATGGGATGCACCTCTCTCTACTACCCTTGCCACTTCTGTGAATCTGTAATTACTTCCAAAAAAAAGTCAATGGGATTTTAACTTACTAAAAGGAGAGAAGAAAAGCACTAATGACTCTAAACTCCATTCTCACCTAGAATAATCAGAATAGTTCTCAACCAGAATAAATCTCTGAAGGTCAACGTAGACAAAACTTGTCACCATCCCTCTACTCCAAACTCTGTAATGGCTCCTGTCTCACTCAAAGCAAAGGCCAAGTACAGCCTACAAGTCTGCTGTCCCCATTCCCTTCTTCACTAACCCCATTTCCCACCACCCCTACCTTTGCTCCCCCTGCTCCAACCCTAAAGCCTTCTTTGCTATCCAGGACACTTGACCATAAGACCTCTGTCTCTAGCATTGCCTTTGCCTTCTGCTGCTTGCTTTTTCCCATCCTTCAGGTCCTTGCTCCTGACACCTTGCCACTGAGGCCTCCCTGACTCTTCCCTGGCTTCCCTACTAAAAAATTTCCCCCTCCTAGCCCTGGAATACCTCCCTCGACTCTTTCATAGCTTTATTTTTCTCTATAGCACTTTTCATCACCTATATATCTTCACTGTTTCTTCATCTGATTGCCCCCACTGGAATGTAAGCGCCGCACAAAATAGATCTCTCTATTATATTCACTGATTTATCCCCAGTGCAAAGAGCTGGAGCCTGGCAACGTCATGTACTCAACTCAGTAAATAATCTGTTGACTAGAGACGGAGGGAAAAAAAAAAAAAAACCCACAAACTAAAGTTAAAAAATAAAACAACCAAATAATGTTGGTGTGGCCTAAGAAAACAGGTGCAATTTGGAGATTACATGCGAATGAGGTTGAGTTTCACTTACATTTGGAAACATGAGATTTTAAATTCCAAGGCTGGCTTTAGTAAGATGAAACTTGAGAAAGACATTCACCTTTTAAGTCATATTTTCTGTTCTATCATACCAAGCAGACTAACTTGACCTGAAGGACCTCTAGGGTGGTAGACAAAGCTAAAGATCTAAATGATGCCACACAAGGCATCATCTGTGTTTCAGACCTTATCCAAGCTTAGAAATAAAGACATACCCCATGGGGAGCCATGGAAAG